AATCCCGAAACCCCTAAACCCCTAAACCCCTAAACCCTAAACCCTCAAGCCTGAAGGAACTGCAGCTTCTCCTGGAAGCCATACAGGAGGATGTGCGTCGGCTGCTAGAGCCGCGGCTGCTAAGATTTCAGGAGGAGAGGTAGCTTTGGGTTTGTAGGATTTGGGGTTGAGGGTTCAAGGTTTATAGGATTTCGGTTTAGGGTTTGCGGTTTAGGGTTTGGGGTTTAGGGTTTAGGGGCTTAGGGTTTGTAGGATTTGGGGTTTAGGGTTTAGGTTCACAGGATTTGGGGTTAGAATAGGGGGAATATGGGTTATGGAAAAGAAAATGGAAACTACTATATAGAGTTTAGGGTTTGGGGTTTGAGCAAAGTACTGGCTTCTATACATGTGGTTGGTTGCCATGCTGGAACATCCATGAACCTGACACAATCTACTCCAACCGATGGACTGCAAGCTAAGGAGCGTCCTGATTGGGTGGGAGAGGCGCAGTGTCGCATTACCTTAGTAAACTTGTGATCAGATCTCTGCTGGGGGGTGCTAGCATTTCGAGCATTTCGGATATGGCGTTTCAGTGGCCTCCCAGAAACTGAAAATTGTATGTGCTCTTACACAGGAGATGCTCCGCGCCAGGTGTGTGCAGACTGCACTTGATGTTGCCATTAGGACCTGTCTTCTGCGTAGCCCCAGTGGCATCATGGCATCGTAAGCTACCACGAGATCGTGGAAGCTGCTCACCATTCAGGAATGTTGAGTTGCATCATTCGGCGAATATGATGCAATGTTATGACACTGAAATCATCGAACTGTTCCAGTTCCATAGTCCGAAGCTGCAAGCCCACAGATCCACTTCCTGGCTTATGGTGTCTGCAGCGCATGTACAGGCCAAAAAGGAAGTCGATGTCGTACTGGCTGTGGCAGACCCCTCGGGTGAGGCGGCCCTCTCTAACACAATACTCTCAACGCACAAGCCTGCGTAATTCAGAAGTTGATCCCATGGTAGGCTTCTGCATAGTCACACGCACAAGCCTGGGTAATTCAAAGCTTGATCCCATCGTAGGCTTACGCATGAGGAGTGGACCCTTGACCGTGTTCGGAAGGTATCCTGATTGCTTTTGCAAAGCTGTCCGGCACGTGTTGGGTTGCAGCATTCCTTGCATGCTCAGCAGGATGCCACCTAGTTTGGGACCATACGGGTTTAGGGTTTGGCGTTTAGGGTTTAGGGTTTAGGGTTTCCTAGTTGTTACTGTCAGGTTTCCTTGCATGCCCGGATGGTAGTAGGTTCCCATAAGTGCTGCAGCAATGGGGAGGTCTGATCATTAACCCTCTGCCCCTCCCAACAACCCAGGGTCGCTTACCCAAGACCCCCTAAGACAAGTTCGGCATAGGCTCTGTGGGGGGCTCTGTCACAGCAGTAGATTTGACTCTGACATGCTCTTGTTGAGGTTGTTCCGTCAAATTTCCTCGGTCCAGCGCAATCTTTTTTTTGAGGGTGATATAGTAGTTTCCCTTTACAATATTGACCCCAAAATAGGGTACCCCTAATTTTGAAAGTTCGCCATATCCTATCAGACAGCACGTGCGGGTCGCTCCAATAATTGTGGCCACCGTTTTGAATATCGGATTCATGTTCTTCATGACACCCTGTAAAGGCAGAACCCATGATTTTGAAGAGGATATAGCCAGATGTCTGCACAGTTACTATGATTACTACTATCAGTATTATCACTATTGTTGCTATAACTACTATGAAGTAAAACTAACTATACCCTAAACCCTAACTATGACCAAACCTGCTACAAGCCTTGTGTCGGTGTGTGTCGCGAGGACTATCCCTTGGTTTGGATCTCGCAGGGCTTCGAAGAGCAGACCGGATATCAGCGCGAGTGGGCGTGGGGCCGAGAGGAGTTGGGGGAAGGGTGCAGTTTTGGGCTTAGTTTAATAAACATGGGGTCTGTGGGTTTAGGGTTTAGGGTCTCAGTCTATTGGTGTAGGGCTAAATGGTATAGCCATTCTGTCAAGAGGACTAACTGAGACCGCGGGAACTATGGTGTGGCTGGGAAACTACGCCCATTCATGCTTTTTAGTATCAGCAGTATCACAACAGCAACTGTATGGCAATAGTACAGTCGCAGCAGCATGAATGAAGTTGAATCCCACCGAGACAGCCGCAGTCTGAGATGTCACAGAGGTCCTCGGAAGGAATTGCCGCTTCTTGCAGCCCAAAGGCCAGGAACAAGTTTATGTGAACCTTTGATTCAGAAACCTGCTATGTCCCTCAAAGAGGGATTTCAACAAGAAGTCTTAATAACTGGGTCCTGAAGGGGCGAAGGTTTCTGAATCAGGGGGCCACTTCCTTATCTTCTGTGTGAGAACCCCCATGTCTTGCTGTTGTCGCGCTCACAAGATTAGGGTATAGGCTTTTTGCATGAAACCCTTACATTATAGTACAAAATAGTATTATAGTATATTACAGTATAATATTATAATATACTATAGCAAGATATAGTATGTAATATAGTAAAATCTGCCCAGCTCCTGCAGACAGCGAACGGAACGAACGCTTCAACGGAGATCAGCTTGAAAAGCTCCGGCAGTTCTGCAGAGATGCCAGGCCTAGGGAGTCGCGCTTGACGCTCTGCTTCTAAAGGGGAAAAGACCAAAAGCGGGTCAAGAGACATGTTGTTGCTGTTCGGTGTATAAGCATATAAAGAAACATCCCTCTCTCTCTCTCTCTCTCTCTCTCTGTCTGTCTATCTCTTCTTCTATCTCTCTCTCTCTCTCTCACTCTCACAGAGGTGCTGAAATTTGCAGTGCACTTGGCAGTTTCAAAAACACTGGGGAACCAATATACACCGGAAAATACCGTAATCCATACTATATGGGCCCCGCAAAAAAAGGATCCCATATACAGGGAAGTACAGCTGATGCGCGCCCCCACGGTCGGCAGGAAGAGCCGGCGGCCTACGCTTACAAACACCTTTGCCCTGCTGCTGAATGAGCGCAGGCCGTTCCATAATGATGGATGATAATGGTAGGTATGGAAACAGCAGCAATGATAACGATAATGATCACGGAAATAAATGAACACAGCAACAACAGCAATTTATGGCAATATCTGCACAGGCAGCCGGTTTCTAAGCTCCTTGGCCGTGGCAGTTTGCAGCTTCGCAGTGTTCTACATAAGGCTTAAGGTGGGATCTGTTCGGGTCTGCCTGAGGTGACATTTGTAGCTGATGTGCTTGTGGCCGGGATCGCATAATGCTCATCTGCGCTTTAACCATGGTTGCTTCCGCACGTGGTGCGATCGCGATTGTCACCATTCTGATGTATGTTCCATTTGTTGTTAGTGCATGTTCTTTCAGGTGCATCCCTAATCCATACCGTCCATACCCTTGGGTCCTAATTGCCCTAAAGCCTGCGTGCAGGAATAGCTCGCCCTTCTGGAACCTCAGCAGCTACCTGCATGTGGAGGCACATCAGTCATTTCAACCTGCCGTTCTTTTGTTTAAGAACTCTACTCAATAATATAACCCCACTGTAACCCCAATATATGTCCTATTATAATATAATAGTTTCCATTTTCTTTTCCATTATTCCTATACAAGCTCTACATATACCCTATTATAACCCTAATAAATACCCTACTACAGTAGTTTCCATTTTCTTTTCCATTATCCCTACTTTTTTCTGCGCTCACAGACATGCCTGTAGGAGGAGGAAGGGTCCGGTGGCAAGACGGCAGCAGAAGAACCGACTGACCTGACAAGCCCTAGGAACCCATAGGCCCCTTGAAGATCCTAACTCCGGAAGAGGGGGCTATATAAGGGATTATATAGGGCACTACTATAGGGGTTACTAAGGGGGATACTGGGAGCTTGGACTGTGGCTCACATCTTTGGTCCGGATGAAGAACGGTGAGTCTTGTCCTTGTCCTCTCGCCCCAGGTCAACGGGAAGCCCTTCATCGTGTCACTGATGCTGCCCTTCCGAGAGGCGCAGCTTTGTTAGCCAACGAAGACACGGATTTCTAGTTGTTTGTTTCTGCAGACCAAAGACGCCAAAATCATGCGGACTTAGTAAGTAGGGTTATAGTAGGTGCGGTTTAGGGTTTAGGGTTTATGGTCATGGGGACTCAGAAATAAGCCACATAATAACCCCAATTATCCCCATTATTGCAGACTTTTGGTAGCCCTGCACCTGGATCCAAAGGGTTGATGATTAAGTCTGAACCTCATCACTTCTCCGTGGTCAAATCCCAAAAGCAAGCCCTCAAGCCACGAAAGGCCCGAGAAGGAGCCCATGTGGCGACTAGGTTGATTGTTCAGAACCCTGTGAAATGGCGATGTGCAATGTATAGGCTTTCAAGAAGCCCTCTTTTGGAAATTTGAACCAGGGAAGTATTGCGTCCAAAAATCTGAGAAGTCACCCAGAGAAGGGTTACTCAGGTAGAAGCTTGAATCATTCCCTTTTGTAGTTGTGAAATAACTATAGTATAAGATGCCCCAAAGCCCCGCCCTGACTCTTTAGGCTCCTAATTCAAGGGTCAGGAGGACACCATCCAAGATCTGGGGCCATAATCCAAACTCCTGAAAGGGGGTTATACAGGCGAGTATAATAAGGCTTATCAAGGGGGATACTAGGAGTTCAGACTATAGCTCACGTACAGCAAGCTCCCCAGCCGCTGCAAAGCCCTGAAAGCAGGAGAAGGTTCGACTGGCTGAACTTCTCAGCATGGACCCCGAGGCTCCAAAATTGTTGATTTGCGCTTCCTGAAAGCGGTACAGGTTACGGTTTAGGGTTAGGGTCTAGCATGGTCTAGCCTTTCGGGCTTAGGGCTTAGGGACGTATGTTGGATTATATATGGGGCCTTGTCCTGTAGGCCATAGCAGAGACTCCAAGGCAAAGAGCAGCAAAATAACATGGAAAGTAGTGTTCTATACTTCTTTATAGGGTTTAAAGCTATTAGTGGCTTAGGGTATGGGCCCCTAATATGGGCCCTCAGCCCTTTTAGGGAGATTCTAGGGACCCAGAAGGATCCCAGAGTTAAGGGCCCATACTAGGGGCCCATGGTTGTAACATCACAGAGCTAGGTAGGGAACCCAAGTTGAAACCAAGTAATATCCCAATTCGGATCACTGGGGGAGTGTTCTCAAAGTTGTGCTCCTTCACTGGAACTACGCAGAAACTGTAAAGGGAACGATCCCTAAGCCCCAGTCCCTAAGCCCTGAACCACCGGGGACACTAGGTCCGCCAAAAGATAATAGGAAGATGCCAGAGGATCTCCGAGTGGCACAGACATGGGTTTACAGGGGTAGGGTTGAACATATGTTTTGATGTTTATTATCTTTTATGCCAAAATAATTCTTGTAAAGCCATGAAAATATGATTTTCATGGGGCCCCCAAACCTACCTTACTTGAGGGTTTAGCGTGCGGGGTTATTGTTGGGCGCAACGTGGCAAAAATCTGTCAATGAGATTCCCAGATTCCAGCTTGAAGTTCCATCCTACTCAGTCCCAGTGCACAATCTTGATATCCGAGCTAATTAGAGTCCCAACAAGAAATCCTTGAACCCCACGTAGTCCTTAAATGAGACCCTTAATTAAACCCACTTGGTCTCACCACAAAATCTTGAAATATCACTCAGTCCCAATACAAACAAAACTCTCCAATCCCAGCAAGTCGCAGTATACATCTGTGATATCCTATTAGGTGACCTGTAGCAATCGGGCCATCACCCTAAACCCTAAACCCCTAACACCCTCAACCCTAAAACCCTAAGCCCTAAAACCCTTGACCTTCAACCCTTAACCCTAACACCCCCAAACCCTAAAACCCTAAACCCTAAGACCCCTAAACCCTCAAACCTTAAACCCTTGAGAAGCCAGCAAAGACAGGCCTTGGCTCAGCAAAAGCGCCTGAAGGGCCTCCTCGCCCGCCACGAGGGCGGAGCCAAGTTTACCAGCCTAGAGGCAGGCTTATGGTTTTAGGGTTTCAGGGTTTAGGTTTCAGGGGTTTAGGGTTGTAGGGTTTAGGTTTTAGGGCTTTAGGGTTGCTTTAGGATTTTTGTTTTTTGGGGTTTGGGGTTCAGGGTGTTAGGGTTGAGGTTACTGGTTGTTAGTAGGGAATATGGGACTAAACTATATAGGTCTTATATAGGGATTATGTCCCCATCTGCCCTACTAAGCCCCAGTAAGTCTTTATGGGGCTTGGGGTTGGGGGTTTATGCATGCATCCTAGTGGATAGTCCTGAAGCATCCACAGATCGCATTTGAGTAGTATTTTATTTGGGGATACTATGGTACCCAATATAGAGTAAGACTATATCCTCCTTTTGGGGTATAGCATTCTATACGAGGAACATTATCTTACTAGGTTCAACCACCAAAAAACACTGCTCAGTTGAGGCCGTGGTACGACACCTTTTCTCCGTGTTCTTCGACGATTTCCCGAGGGTGCTGCAGGACCTGCCAGCATCGTAAAGGTTGTCAAAACTATTCTCAGGTCCGTTGCTATGTTGAGTATGCCATACATTTAGGCCAGTATTATACCCAAACCGGGGGCCATACTTGCGACAACCCTCCCCCCATCTTGGGGTTGCTCTAGACGACACTTGTTGTTGCCGCTGTGTTCACTCTGAAGGTGCCCGCGCGCTGTTTGCGTGCTTGTAGTAATGAGGCTGCCACTATTTAAAGTGTGGGGTCAAGGGCTTAGGGAATAGAAAAGCAAATCAAATGACTATGTTATCGGAGTATAGGGGCTACTACAGGGATCCGTGAGGCCTTTCCTACTAACAACAGGGTAGGATTAAGGCAGAGCAGCAGGCTCAAATTTGATTACAACAAGTATAGCCATCTGCTCTGGAACCTTTGGCATTTGTTGTAGTCTAGTCGAACCCTGAATCGAATCGCACATATGAGCCATAATCTAAAGTTATACAGGGGATTCATGGGGGACTACCATCGGGGTTATTAAGGGGGATAGGAGTTTAGACTAAAGCACATACCCTAAACCCTAAACCCTAAACCCTAAACCCTAATCCGATTATGAAGGACTGTCTACAGTAGCTCTGGCAGTGCAGTGCAGCCTCCGATTGTGCCGGCTTGCGAGTTTCAGACCAGATGCTCTGCTGGAGATCGGGGTTTAGGGTTTAGGGTTTAGGGGAGTCAGTGGGCAAACTTTGAAGAACTCCAACTCCCTCTGTACTTCTTTTGTACAAGTGTTACAACTTTGCCAGACAGCTCCGTTGCGCAGGTTTGCGTCGAAGTATGTGGATAGTTGTTCGACAATGGGATCCCTTTTTGGCGTGCCCGTTCTTATATGGCGCTTAGAAGTTACGTGCTCAATCCTAAAACCCCTATCAGCCCTAGAAACCCTAAACCCCCAACCCCCCCTGAATCCCATAAACCCTATATAACTCCAGATTTTACAATCGGGGGACCTTTATCTGGAAACTGCCTATGTAACTTTCTCATCCCTCCTCCATGGTCCAGGCGCCGTCGCTGCCTGCTCCCAGCGGCCCGCTGCAAGCAATGCCAATCTTCGGGACCGGGCGCCCGGAGGAAACACACGACGATTGACAAGTTCTGTTATCTCGGAAACATGAGATGCTCGTTCTAGCACGGCACGCAAGGAGCTGTGAGCACTAGGCTTTGCTGCTTCCGCGTCTTGTCTTCTTAGCTAGAGGACTCATGAAGATGTTTCCACCAGTGTTTACTGGTATGGTGCCTGAGGTTGGAAGTCGGAGCCAACAACACGCAGGCTGGCCACGCGTAAGGTGATAGAAGAATCATACCATACCAAATGTGTTGAGAAAGTCGGCTTGCGTTCAGTTGGGCTTAGCTCGTGTGCATGCTGCTTACACTTTGGCTTCGGAGATAACGCCGGAAAGCCACGAGACTGAGACAGCATAACACAAAAACGCCCTATCTTCAGCCCCAATATACACGCCATAACCCTTATGTACTCGCTATAAAACCCCAATATACTATAGCAGTCTCCATTTTCTTTTCCATTACTTCATTTTCCCCCCATGTCCGGCATCCTTGAGCCCACAGCCCTGAAATCTGCGACATACACCTTCAAGGCTCAATCCCTAAACCGGATTTAAGGGTTATATTGGGGGTTATATAGGGATTATGGGAAAGAACATGGAAGCTACTATTTAGGGTTTAGAGTTCTACCACACCTAAACCTAGATAAACTTCTTCTACCACACCTAAACCTAGATAAACTTCCTCTCGCGACCTGAACCCAAACCCGTAGCCCCTGCCTTACCCTGCACCCTAAACTCCCTGAACTGCAGCTGGTTAGAAAAACACCTAAACCCTTAACCATGTCAGGCCATGGCAGGATCCCTGAAGCCAGGATCTTAGTACATCATCTCAGTCCCCCCTTAAGTAAATAGAATATGGGGTATATTATTGAGGTTACATAGGGAATAACGGAGAAGAAAATGGAAACTACTATAGTAT